TGTACAGACCTGAACCCCACACTTCACATTACCTTCTTTCTCCCCAAGCATCTTGTTTTCTTTCCTCTTTGCATGCATTCTCTCCCATCATTCGTTTTTACGTTTCATTAGTTTTCGTGTGCACTCCCTAGACTCACTTTCACAAATCGACATTTGCTTTGTTCAATCATTTTACCTAATCACATTTGATTTCATGTTTCTTTCTAGTGTTGGACTTCGCAAATAGTTTATTGTTTTTTCCCTCCGTTCGCAAATTGACTTGAAAAATGGGCCCGTTGATTGCTACGTCTCCGTTGCTAGAGTGTACGTCATTTTCTTCAACCTGCATTCTAAAATTTTAGATCTCTAATTTACCCTGTACCCTTCCAGAAACAATTTTCACTGCCGGTCTGCACGCCGGCGCGTTGGCTACCGTCCAGTTGAAAAGCTTGCTGTTTCCCACATGGAATTTGAGCTAAGTTATGGGAATGCAAGTTTTGAAATTACGGAATGATGGAGTTCAGCTTACATAGTGGTTTATGCATGGGTCTTGAGGGGGGATGTTCGCCAAATACGGCATTACAAGCTTTCGTCGCCATATTTTATCAGCAGAGCGCCGGGGTCCATCCCACACTAATTGAAACAAGACGTAGCCGACAACTGGGCCCAACATGGCTTTCTGCGTCTCCATCGGCCCGGATGATCTTACAAGGTCCCCCGGCACTTATTTCACATCATTACCTACCTAAGCTTATGAGCAGAAAACCTGTATTAAAAATCACATGTCACGGAACCTAACTTCTGGGATGCACATTATAACAAGCTCGTCAAGCTTTCTCCTAGCGATGTTTTACTTGATATGCACTTATCGACCTGCATGCTTGATTGCCTTGGTGTCTTATGTCATTCCCGGCACTAACCCTGAAACAGAAAACCCGAGACTCCAAGCTTCTACGGCCAATGAGGGGATCCCAACACTGCGCCATTTTCCTTAGCGTTGTGGCATGCGGGAATTGCACTCCACCAACTGCAAAGCATAAATATACGCGTACATCCACATCGCCAACATGACCTGATGAGTCGCAACACACAAGTGAGACAAGCATTGCCCGTTTCGGCACAGCGTATAGCAATATTTTCAACTGCATCTTAGCCTTGACCCTTAAAACAACAGCCCAATATTCAATTCTGATGTTCTTGATGCGTCGGGTGTCATGGCGGCCATGAACAAAAGTCCAAAGCTTCTTGACCTACCGAATGAGGTCTTGATTCGTATTGGCCATTGCTTGATCTATGAGCAAGCAGACATTCACATCGAAAGCAGTGGCGGATTAGCACCAAAGTTCAGCTACAAGCTATGCTCGGAACAGGCTGCAAAATTCAGCAAAGCTTACATGCGGTCACAGAAGAGAGAAGCCGAGTCTCCGTAAGCACTGCTATGACATTGGCCGTCGCGCTTCTAATCGGTACCAGGCTTATAGCGTATCTGCACGATATTTCATTCGGATCAACATGTAAGAAATTGTAAGTAACGCCGCCACTTTGATTCTGAATCTCTAACCGAAGTCAGATACGATGTTTACAAGGTTACGGAAAGCGTCCGTGTCAAACAATTGAGAGGTTGCATCTTCGACCAAACCACTTTTGCGAAATTCAACACGAGCGTCGAAACGAATGCGGGGAACGCAAAGCCATTCTCGCGTGTGCAACTCATACTCAGCTCATTCGAGATTTCTTTCTTAGAAAGGTTACCGTCAACCTATTTGTGGAAAGTCGGCCGGTTGGAGATCTTCCTTCTCGAGCCGGATGGTCCGGACAGATTCGCGGAGATTCAAAAACTTCTACCAGAAGGCTTTCTCAAACAAGTGAAGGAACCGGTGGATCGTCTTTATTCCACTGGGATGGCCACCTCATGGGAGTCATGGCTTACAGCTGGCTCTTTTGATAAGGAACTGGCCATACCAACTCCCAGATTCCATAGACAATGCGAGCGTAGGATGTTAGAAGGACGGGCGGGGAGATCGAAACAACAGGTGCGGTTCTCAAAACAACAGGCGCGGAGGGCTTTCATGAACCCAGCGAAAACATCCAACGGCGGCTGCGATGCGTCTGCTGCGTTCACGAAAGAACCGAGATATATCTAGGTGCGGACGTCGTTTGGAGACGCCGAAAGGTTTCTCTTTCTACCGTAGAAGATGGAAGATGCAGTGTATTGTAGTGTAATATGACAACTAGCACCAGACACCATGGGCACTGCGGAGGACAAAAAGAATCCTCTGTCATAGCTATGTTGAACTGATTGCAGACAATCTGACTGCGATAGTCGAGATATTGGTTCATCAAGAACAGCAATGTCAGTTGATAGTCATATACAAGTACACAATCCGTTTTCGTTTACATGTCGCGAACGTTTTATAATCTGATTACTAGTAATCGGTGTAGTTGAGAGTGGATGGTGACCGGCTTCTCACTTGTGTGTGATGATGTTTATATTAATCTGAAATTTGACCGATGTTTTCACGTCATGCGTTCTGCTCTGTGGTGTTTCCAATGAAGAGCTTTTTGTCGGTAGCTAAACAAATAACTAGGTTGACTCACTTTACGTCACAAAATGGAAATTGTTCGAGCGGTTCATATACCCAGCTTCCACCGCCGCAGTATAGAGCCATCTTCAGCAATACGACCAGAGAGGGCTAGAATTATATTTATTTAGCGCAAACTAGAATTTCCAGTTCTCTAAGCGGTGCTTCTGCGTTCTCGAAATCCTCCACTCATACACATTCTCTGAGGTTAAGCTCAATCTCGCGGACTTGTTTAAAAGGTCCAAACTTGAAATTGTTTCACTCTACTTTCAAGTCTAACATGCACAGAGGGTCAAGCTCCTCTTCTGGCATCCAAGACGGTATCGATTTGAGTTCCCATGACAGTCACGATCCCCATGGTGTACATACAAACCAACACATTGGCAGGACGGTGTCATCTAACCCTAGGCCTCAGCGTCATGCTGTGTACGCAGGGCGGTGCTTGCTCATCGCCGCGTCTTCTTATATCACCTCCTCTTGAGCGTCCGCTCTTTTGTATTCTCTGAGCCGATCTCGCCTTTGTATCCCGTTTAGCCCTCAGCGCCCTCTTCATCTCCTTGAATCTACCGGGACAAGCGCACAAAACTAGTGGCATATCGCGTAAAGTGCTATGGAGGTCTAGCATCGAACCTCAATCATTATTCAGGTCTTACTATCGGTAACCAGGTCACTATGACGGCTGCAAACTTGCAGCCTGAACCACGAGGTGCAATTTACCACTACTTTCTTCTTTCTACATACCGCCTTCTCGTGTGCCAGGTTAGTAGATATCCAGATTGTTTGTAAGTGTTGGCTGTCATCATTAATAAGATATCACCAATCATTGTAAGCTATTTTAATGAGTCATCATGACGGACTGGCTAATCTGAACAATGAGGCCAGCCATTCTACGAGGTTGCTGTAGCATCTGGTCGAATACTACGACCAGATCGGTATAGTCTTCATCAAACTATTCGTCGATGCTTTTCACGAAAACCCCATTGGCCACTTGTTTTTGCCGACTTTTACCACCCGAAGAAGCCTTTCTGCACAGCACCGGCGTCGCAACTGTAGAATTCGGACTCTTTCTTTACCTCAGCACTGCAGGCGAATCGTGCCACCACAAAGGCAAGATGTCCACGCCCCAATCACCTCGGTCGCTCAGTACCCTACCGAACGAGACTAAAGATGGCATCATCAACCAACTCGATAGTTTTGACAAGCTGATTCTTCGTATGAAAAGCAGGCATTTTCGCACAACGGTTGCGCTCACAGTGAACGAGGTGCTGGCAGCGGAGCCAGCTTCGATTTCCCTCGGAAAAGATCTTCTGGGATGCTTCGATTGTTTATGCCACAAAAGAGCAGAGTGCTTCGCTGACAACACGGGAAGAGGAAAGACAGGAAGGTGGGGTAGCAAACCCACATCACGGTTTTGCATTGATTGTGGATTGTACTCACCTTCGGACACTACTCGATATAATCGAGTCAATAGAATCGTCGTTGGGGGTGAGCAATTCGTTATATGCTGGTGTGAGAAGGATGGTATATTGCCCAAGACCTCCTTCAAGGAGAATAGATGGGTTTGCAAGGCTTGTTGGGAGCCTGTGGCACGACGACGAAGGCAAAGGGAGCGAGAGCAGCAGAATCTTCAACATCAGCAGGAGAAAGCTGCGAAAGCGAAAGCTAGGGCTGAGCGCCGCGCTCAGGGGCGTGACCTGGGCCGTGCTGAGAGCGACATTGACAGTCTCGTATCTGACACCACGATATCAGATGAGGATTTTTGGTATGAATATTCCGATTAGTCTCAATCTACTGTACCAACTGCCCCCCGTATAGGGTCCGGATACATGATTTGAGGTCCCGTGTGTGTCAAGCATTCATATTATGGCAGATCAGATGGTTTACATATCTGTGCTTCTAGAAAAGCGTACATTCAGGTCTAACCCATTGCTAACACCCAGGCATCTCTATAACGCCCCCATTTGATGGGAAATCATCATTGAACATTGAAGCGCCGCAGACACACACACTCATCCGTGGACCTCTCCAACTGCCAAGTCACCAAGCCTCAATCTCAGTAGTCGAGACAGATCAGTAGACCCATCTAATCGAATGCCACACTCCCCAACATCGCTCAGTATGTCATCAATGTAGTCCCCCGCGGCAGAAAGGTGCAGGATATGCGCGATAGCACGATGAACGGCCAGGAATCGAGATGACGGCGGATCAATGCTTTTGTCCTCAGTAAAGAAAAGAGTTCGAGTAACTGGGACATCCTCTGCATGACCAGGCGGTAGAAATGTGCTTATATGATATGTATGCGGTGTATCTCCGACAGGCTCGAAATAGACACGAAAGTCCCCAAAAGACACATGATGACTTAGAGTCAGCGTTAGAGCATTAGACGGACGATCAATGTCTATTCCCTCGATCAAGTGGACATCACCACTGTCAAACATATTAAGTATCGCCAGTGCCCGCTACTTTTGAAGAGTTCTATCGCAGAGTCAACGTGAGCAAGATTGTGGGGTTCAGAATTCTTACCAGCTCTTTTGAAGAGTTTAGCTGAGTGAGGGAGTGTGAAAGAATGTGTGCGACCTCCAGATAGTCGAACATCTGCCCTGGCTCAGCCAAAGGAACGTCGTCTTGGTCAACAGCCTTATTGTCACCATGTTGCTGGAAGCGCTTCAGAGCTTCAGCCCTGTCGAACTTGCGTGAAATAACACCACGATGCCAGTCGCGTATGAGGCAGGCACCCCTGAGAGTGGCTAGGCGCTCTGGCGTATCAGAAAAGACACGATCCTGGCGTTGGGGTTTCATGACAGCTGAGTGAGATGCTGGCGTAGGTTGTGGTGTCTTTTTGGTTAATGCTTTGACTTTTGAGTTGTTAATGATAGGCCCGAACGTCGCTTCAAAATGGGGCCATACGCGGGAGAAAGAAGTTGTCGATCAGGTAGTCGGCAAATTCATACAAGTGGTTTTTCAACTCGCCTCGGTACGTGGCATCTTCAAAGTCGATATCCTTTTCAGCTGAAATCGATAGTTTCAAAAACTCAAAAACAGCGATCAAGAGATTATCTTTGGAAACTTGATTGGTGGAATATTCGTAAGTGAAGCGAACAAGCTCCACTCTATCATATTGGTCTTGACCTCGTTTAGTGTCATTACCATCAAAATGATTGATGATTTGATAGAACCGACGAATAGCTGAGGCACGATGAGACTCAGACAAGGGCTCCCGCGATGAGAAGTCTATGATACTCTAAACAGACGATTGATGACGATGAAGTGGAAAAGCGGGCGGCACCATCGTGACAAACACTTTGGGTTGTGATGTCAAGGTTTCTTTGGTTCAATTCATGTCCTTGCGATCACAAATAAATCAGGGCGACTTCAGAAAAGTCTCTGATTATTGATGAGCCGCGCCGTTAGAGTTAAGACTACCCTGTTGCAGCAGGCGGTGGAAATGATATGCTGGCAAATATTCCTATCGGATGTTAATGCTTACCACCAAGTCCCACAGTCCAAAATCAACTGTGATACAATTAACTTAATTTACCTCATTCTATAGGGGTAGAATTGATTTTTGATTGGAAGTAGACGTCACTCTGACAAGGTGTATGGCATGGGTTTCTGACTAGTGCTTATATACAAGTTCAAGCAAGACAATGATTCAAGAATAGCGTTCCAGCTTCAGACTGTTGTTTACTAGGGTTTATCACGACGGCTTTTGAAGGATATCTATCAGACCATGGCGCTCAAGCATATCACGAAACTCTGCCCTTCTAACCCAATATACCCGTTTATGCTTCCGTCTGAGTAGCGCGTCCTAGTATTACAGTCCACAGTGAATTATTGTACCACAAGACAATATAAGTGCCCTCTGATTACAACCGAATGCTACCAAAGAAACAATCTTTCGCAGCACAGAAGGAATCCAGAAATCTGTTATGATCGGTGCCTGACTGAATTTTACCCTGCCTTAACTGCAACAGGTATATAACAAGACATCATTCCATACAGGGAAGGCTTATTACTTGGAAATTGATCCTCTTCCGGCACAGGTTAGGAGAACTCAACTGCCAATGCGTGGGCGACTACAGATTTCACTGCATCTTTAATCCTACACAAGGATTGAAAAGATTGTTGCTGATTGGGCGAGAATAGAATGGGTTGGTCAGGCGTATTGAGATAAAGAACTCTCATTAATAGCTGGTGAGCTAAGTGTTCTCTCTAGTTCTAAATGGATGTATATATCCACGAAGGGGCCCAAAATTGAGAGCTGGGATCATGGTGTGAGTCGCGACTTCAGTCGTCACTCTGGTTTGCAAGTCGTGAGTTGATTCCTGAGGTAGCTTACGATTTGTGCAGGGAAGCCGGGCGTGAGTCGTAGGGCGATTGGTGGAGCTTATGGGGGGCACACGTGATGTAGACGCGGGGGTCGTAACACCGCCACTGCGTAGGGAATACATATAAAGCAGTTTCTCTCCTCTTCTGCACCATTTAATCACCCAACCTTTACTTCTAGTCCCAATTACCATTTCGTTTTGGAAAATATATCCGCACAATATTGTTTTAACTGCCTTACTTTAAGCACACTCAAATTGGCCTTGCCTATACTACAAATTTACTGCGAATACGAACTAATCAGCAAGATGTGCTTTACCGGGCCTGCTACAAAAAGCGTGCTCATCACTCATTGTCCTACAGAGGTACTCAAATATATCTTAGAGCACCTCGATTATGAAGACATCATCAACCTCACTGGGTCTTGTACAATACTTTACAACGAATTCCGATCAGAACGACATGCCAGCATAGCACGAAGACAAACATCCATGATTGAGACTAGCTTGAGCTTTCGGACGGCCCTTTTGCGTCGTACAACCGGTCACCAGTCTCTTGGCGAACTGGTTTTGTTTCTTTTGGGCCGACAAATGATTCAATTGAACCAGGAGGACCGAAGGGAAACATTCCCATATTGGCATGAGCGTGCAGTACGGCTCAATTCATGCTCTTATCGGCTGCGACTAATGACGGAGTCGTCGGACGCATCCAGTGCACGTCCAGTAAGTATTGAACGCGCTATGAGGCTAGGATTTAAACAAGGCTTGAAAGTCACTTTCATTGCGAAAGTATTTGAGAAACAACACGGGGAGGAATCCAGAGAGGTTGAGAGGATGTGTGTCAACAACGTGGCAGGGGATGCAGTACGGGCTGGTGAAAGGGTTGACTTGGTGGTAGAACGGTTTGGAATTACCATGGAAAGTTCGCGGCAGACTCTTGAGAGGATGTGTGTTGAGAATGTGGCAGGGGATGCAGTACGGGCTGGCGAAAGTGTTGACTCGGTGGTAGAACGGTTTGGAATTACCATGGAAATTTCGCGGCAGATTCTTGAGTCGATGAGTGTCAACGGCGTGGCAGGGGATGCAGTACGGGCTGGCGAAAGTGTTGACTCGGTGGCAGACAGGTTTGGGATTACCATGGAAATTTTGCGGCAGCGTCTTGAGTGGATGGGTGTCAATTACGAAGCAGAAGATGCAGTACGGGCTGGTGAAAGTGTTGACTCGGTGGCAGGCAGGTTTGGGATTACCATGGAAAGTTCGCGGCAGACTCTTGAGAGGATGTGTGTTGAGAGTGTGGCAGGGGATGCAGTACGGGCTGGTGAAAGGGCTGACTCGGTGGCAGACAGGTTTGGGATTACCATGGAAAGTTCACGGCAGTTTCTTGAGTCGATGTGTGTCAATTACGTAGCAGAAGATGCAGTACGGGCTGGTGAAAGTGTTGACTCGGTGGCAGGCAGGTTTGGGATTACCATGGAAAGTTCGCGGCAGTTTCTTGAAGATATGTGTGTCATTTACGTAGCAGGTGGTGCAGTACGGGCTGGCGAAAGTGTTGACTCGGTGGCAGACAGGTTTGGGATTACCATGGAAAGTTCGCGGCAGCGTCTTGAGTTGATGAGTGTCAACGGCGTGGCAGGGGATGCAGTACGGGCTGGTGAAAGTGTTGACTTGGTGGCAGACAGGTTTGGGATTACCATGGACAGTTCGCGGCAGACTCTTGAGAGGATGTGTGTTGAGAATGTGGCAGGGGATGCGGTACGGGCTGGTGAAAGGGTTGACGCGCCGGCTGACAACATCATATTTTGGCCGACTCAAACTAGACACCAAACATATCACGAAACTTTCTAGGATAGAATTATTCCACACAGGGTTAGGATACGTTGGTATTAACATGCAGACAGAGCAAATTGAGGCTTATTACCCAATCTCTCAGTAACTGCCAATAACGAGGTTAAGTCTGCCATTGATGCTTCGTTATGCAGGATCTCCCTTTGGCGAGTTTGCCTGGTCATATGCTGTTGTATTTTGTGGCGATGACGTTACTGCTACAGTTCCTCCAGCCAAGACTTCATCGGCCACTTCATCAACCCAGTCGCCTCCATATGAACCCTGGGAAGCCTGAGGACCAGCAAACCTATCAAGAGGTGGCGAATGGGAATGAGTCTTGACACAAGGTGAGGATCTTGGTGAAGATGATGCTCTATAATCTATAACTATGGTGTTTCGGCCCTTCATCAGGCGCTAAGTATATTATTTACTCATTGAACCTCTCGATTCTGAATGGTAGGTGGGTAGGTAGTGCATGTGGCTCCTACACGCCGGATATCGTTATTGCTCATAAACGTTCCAACTTGCGTAGTGAAGGAGAGAGTCGTATGGCAGGTACGTCAGTTAGTTCAAAACTGTTGAAGGGGGGGAGAAGTACGTACAATATTTCATGATTGATCTATGGCGTTAATCTTGAATCAATGATTAGTCATCAGTCTTTGTCGGCTGAAAATGATCGTCAGCGCCTTTATTTGTCAACGTCACAACAAAGTCAACAATAAATACATGCTGACCAGCCCGGATGATTATCACAATCCCTAAGGTGGTCATTCTTCTATATGAAATTCACCACTGCACTTGCGGCTTTGTCGTTGCTGGCTCCTGTCTTTGCATTAGCCAAGGAAAAGAAGTTGGACTCAGTCAGATTACAGGCCGACATCAAGACAGATAAGTAATTATCTGCTCCAAACCACTGTCTATGTGCAGCACGTCTCATGATAAATAGTCTCATGTCAAATCTCGAAGCTCTCAATGATATCTCCTTCGATAACGGTGGCAACAGAGCATTCGGCTCCCCCGGCTACGATGCATCTGTCGCGTACATATACAGGCGCGCCTCTGAAGTGAAGGACGCCAAAGTCTGGAAACAATACCTTTCTGTGAAATCCATTTCTGTCGACTCTATTGCTCTCAAAGTTGATGATAAGCACATCCGCATATATGGCCTGACATACTCGCCATCTACAAGTGCACAGGGTATCACGGCCGAGATCGTGCTAGGACCTGAAGGCGCTGCAGGTTGCGACGCGTCTTCCTATCGCGGCCTTGACGTAAAGGACAAAATCGTGCTCGTACAGCGCTCCCGATGTCCCAACGGCGATACTCTGGTTGGAAGAGTTATGCCTGCTGCAGCGGCGGGTGCCGCTGCCGTAATTATTTATCACGATCTCTCGACGGATGTGACTACTGGCTCGCTTGGTGCGTCTGACACAAAGAAGTACGTTCCTGCGGGACTGATTAACAGTCGTGATGGATTGAAGCTCAAGGAGAGGATCAAGGCGGGCCAAAAGGTTGAGGCCCATTTTCAGCAAACGCAGAACATTAAGAACAGGGTCACGCAAAACGTTATCGCTGAAACTTCGGGTGGTGATCCTCGCAATGTCATCATGGTTCGCCAACCCTCTGGTCTCCATGGAACCGTCGTTAACGATCCAGTAGGTCGGCGCTCATCTTGACAGTGTCCAAGCTGGTCCTGGTATCAACGATAATGGTATTTTCCCTCCCCTCCCAAAGATACATACACCCTTACATTCTTAGGCTCCGGATCCTCCCTCATTCTAGAACTTTTTATCGCTTTATCAAACTACGAAACGAAAAGTAAGATTCGCTTCGCTTGGTGGGGCGCTGAAGAGAAAGGTCTTCTCGGCAGCAACTTCTACACGTCCAACCTGGCCATCACGGACGTTAACGATCTCCTCGTGTATCTCAACTTCGACATGGTCGCCAAAGGCTACTTCGGCGTCGCTGACACAGATGGTAGTTCTTACGGATCCAAGGCCCCCAAGGGCTCTGAAGTGACCGAAAAGATCTTTGTGGAATATTTTACGAGTAAAGGGATAGCGGTCACGCCTGTCGCGTTGACAAATGGAAGTGATTATGCTTCCTTTTGGCAGAATTTGAACAAGCCTTTTGGATTTTTACATACTGTAATTTCTAATCAACGTCCACTCTTGGTTCCTGCTACTTATTGTTAATGTGTCATCTAGGGCACGGCCGTTGAGCAGGATCCTTGCTATCATCAGGTTTGTGACACTATCAACAACATCGACCCCAGGACACTTACTATTAATGCTAAAGTGAGTTCACTTATCCAACGTAACATCATGCACGGTTCTGAGCATCGCCAGGCTGCCGCACACATGCTTGCCATTCTCGATGAGTGGGGTAGCAAGTTAATCCCTAAGACCCAGGCGACCACCACATCCGTCCATAGCCTCCAGCAGCGACATGTTGGACATAATCTCGGGTAGCTTGATGTAGATAAGGCGATAGGACAATGATGTTCAGGTTGTCGGCTTTGAATCCGGGTTTGTCTGAATTACCTTGATTCCTGAAATGAATATGTGGAGTGACAGAGTCTCAGAGCAGTAGATGGATACACCACCTGCCCTGCCTCCTCGTACACTCGCAATCTGCATTCCTTTCCTCAATAAACCTGTAATGTTAATAAGCAGTATACATACCTTTCAACTTGCATTTATGAATATGTCAGGAGTCGTCTCGAACACGCATTGGAAGCCAAACCAGAAGCTGTTCTTCTTGGGACTATTGATTGAGAGCTACCAAACTAAGGAGCAGGAGCTGTCGGAGAAGTATTGGCTAATTGATGCTTCTTTCTTTTTCATCCGTCGACTGAAGGTCACGTTCCTGGCGCGCATGTAAGATTTGAAGGAAATCCAACCGCAGTACAACCATTTCAAAAGCCCTCACAGGACACCAGATGAAAGGCTTACGCCGCCTTGCGTTCGGATTATGAAGGAACCAAGTGCGTGGATATGTTATCCATGAAAGACGGCTAAGAATGGCACAGCCTCGCGCTCAGTTCGGTCATAGAGTTGTTCATTCTGGATCAACCCCCGTCAGGATTACAGCAGGTTCTTTTTGTGCCAATTTGGTTAGCAAAATCCTTCACCTTGAGTAGATTCGGATCTTGGAAAAGTATCGTTTCCATAAAGGCGTTCGGGATAGAACTGGTGTAGATATGAGAGCGATACCCCTTGAAAACCGTATATGACCAGGACTGTTAAGTGGTTAAGATATAATTAATCAACACCCAATTCAGAGTTGAGTATTGTTCTCACCTACTACTAGTGGAAGGCTGGTAGATTGGCTCCCTAGAGAATCACAAACTGTTCAGATGTTACAATAAATCAAGGCCAGCCATACAGGAGCTTATGCTACCCATGCATACCGGCATTGGCGATAAGTTTATGATATGGTTATATCAACCTAAATAGCCTTGTCTGCTCAATCTATACCCTTGTACGTACAGAGGGATTTAGATAATAACTGGGCCCTGTATGACTAATGATCATCAATGGCTGGCAGCGTTAAATTCATTCTGATCTCCAGATCGGTGCTCTTTCTCAGATGACAACAAGCAATTCCTTCTATCTGTCCGCCACGTGTCTGTTAAAGATTAAAGCTGCTTAAGATAGTCGTAAAGCATTTGACGCTGCTTGATAATGACCCACTGACGCGACCATTGCCAGAAGACTTCGGAATGAGAGGCCTGATCTACTCAGTAGACTATTATTCCGAGGAAAGGTTCCATTTTGACAGAGTCGACATCGATGAGAGATATGTTGAACAGACGTCCATGGCAGAAAAACGAAGGCGCCGAATTCTTTCATTGGGGCTAAGCATTGCTACTCCAGGCCGCTGTCTGGTTTGGGATCAGGCAGCTGACCGATTCTCACCCGCAGCCAGGTATGAGGCTGAGAAAGAGTAAGTGGGAAGATCCACTTGCCTTGGCGCAGTAGCGGTCCAAGCGTCAGACCGTGCTATACCCGCTGATCGGAGCCACTGTAGGCCAGCCAGCGGAGGTAGAGATTTTGGTCGATATTTGACCAAGAAGAAAGGTACTTCAACGTATCAAGGAGGCAGAAACACAGAGTTAGAGTTGTGGTAGTGCATAGAGACCCGCAACAGAATCTTTACGACAGCACGGCTGTTTAGTCTACCCAACCCATATCCAGCCTGTAACTTACTATCTATTGTTTTCGAGGGGTTCCGATAGAAACTTACTTTCAGTTCCTGACAGCTCTCGGCGACGGTTTTGAGTTACTCTTTTGTTACTTTTTAATAAAGCTATGATAATATATACATTATACTCCAAGTATCAGCAGGTAACTTCACGAGGAAAATGGAAATGCTTTGGAGACCTACTATTTTGATAACATGGACATTCTTGCTGCTGTGGATAATTTACAGGAATTATATCTACCAGTGCAAGAGAACACAGAGCCTACGATGAACGCCGGGTCTGACCAACTCCATCCCTAACCCCAATAACTAGCAACGTGAAATCCGATTTCTGCCGTCCTTGCTACGTCCACCATCCAAAAACACATGTGAAGTGCTATTTGCGAGAGGATTATACTGGTTTCAAGTGCCCATGCACGGACTTGCTTGGTGATACAATACTCTTCTCTGGATGCTTACAGTCTATATTCAGCCTGTCGAAACATATAAGGGCGAGACGCCTCAATGGACGTCGTGCTTGTCATCGGGCGTTTAGTGAGAGTGGTCGATCCATGAATAGCTCTGGATTGTCATGCCCAATTCCGGAGATCCATGGAGTGTCATGGAATGGTTACATAACACTCGTGCCCAACACCAACGATGGCGTTTGAGAGCAATATTACATTACTATCAGGAAAAAAAAAGACTCGACAGCTATATTGGGAAAATGGAGGAGGCGTGGCGCACTGAAGAGGAGAATATATTTGTCTGGGCGTTGATTGATTCACCTGAAGACTTCCGCGAAGAACTCTTGAAACAAATCAAGAAGAATTACACAGAAAGCTACGGTGAAATCGTCTCATTGATTTCTGGGATACAAAAAACGGAGGCCTCTATCCCAGGCATAAACTTTCAGTGCGTTGCATTGCCTGAATACCTGAATGCACTGCCGGAGTCGGCCAGGGTTTGTCTTTGGTGTCGAGAGAGATTCAAGGAGGGTCGTGATATGATATGGGTACAATGTAAGAAACATCCATGGTGTTCGGCCTGTTTTCAGGAGTGTTCTTCTCAAACCTTGAAGCCACTGTTTATTGCTTGCCCTTGCACCGACCCCGATGTATTCAAGTATTAAATCAGGTTTATATGGTGCCATTGTGTTGGAATCAATCATGTTGATTTTGTTACTACCCTGTGAAGTATAAGCTTTTCCGTCTGATTTGGTCAGCTGTTTTATACTCGGGTTGGTACCCTCGCAGCCAAGGAGGAAAAGAGCGACAACTGTTCAGTCTGACTGTTTTTCGACAGGTTGGGGGACTGGCTCCCGCAGAGGTCTTGGGCACAGCTCCCTCTAGCCCCGGTTAGCGTGCCAAGCGACATATCTCGCGACAGTCACTGCACTTGAAACGGCGATATTGTTGTAGATAGCTTCCCGGACATTTTCGTGCCAGGGGCGACTGTCGGTCTTGGGGATGTCTTGCTTTGTCGACTATAGTAGTGCAAGATTTGACTGCTGTAAGAGGAGAAAAAGCCTTTATGCCATGTGGCCATTTTTAACTATTACCCTGTTGTGACTATTTGTGTACTTTTGGACTTAAACGTTACCGGCATTAGGTTTACCGTTGTCTTATTGTTCATTCTGTTGATTCCACCCGTACCACTTCAGAAATGATCTTTGAAGGCAAATATAGGGCTTCCAACGCCATGCTAAAGTGAATATCGTAGTAAGGATACGTTCATAGTTAGTGAAGCTCTTACATACTAGCAAAGAAAGTTTGTTTTACCATATTTTCAGTCGAGTTCCGGTAAGGCGCTATCATTCATGGGCATATCAGTTAATCTTATCGTAGGCTCGGTAAACTGCATCACTATCAATCCTCCCTCCAGAAGTGGGCGCCTTATGATCCCATTGGCTGCTCTTCTCCTTGGTTACCGCGCATTCTTCTTTTGCCTGGAAACGGAGTCTTAATAACATAGCCCTGGTAACGAGTAAACTAAAGCGGTAATATTGTCTTTATATTGGTCAAGCTGGCCTTGTGGCACCACACAGTTTCACCAAAGCCCCTTTGTTGGCAGTACCAGAAGCTTTAGGTCGTACAGCCGGTCATAGCTAACGCCAGGTCGTGGCGGGCTGACGAACTGCGAAGACGCAGGTTGTTATACGCAAGCCCGACGCCCACCTTGATAGTTGAAGGCTTGAACGTGGCCAGTTACACCCACACAGCCTTGCCACAGCCGTGAAAGAGCAGGTCTTGAAACATATCATTCCAAGCAGAGGGTCAACGGTTGCCAAGTGGCCATGTAACTGATATAAAAGGTCATTGGGCGCGCAGCTTGAGAAATTGGTGGTTGCATCATGAACTGTCGAAACGCAATTCTCTGTTGTGCGGTCCTCAAATTGAGGAGCCCTCCAGGCCAGGGTTAACACATTCAGCCATATTAGAATTGCGAGTAAGAGGCTTCCTTCGGAGGCGTCACATGGGTACTGCTAAACCGGCCTTAGTTACCTTCACGGTCCTACACACTCAATCGTAAGGCATTGCTTTGTCTTTCGCTTGGCACCATGCACTCTACAGGGGTAGCTCGGCAGTCATCAGGGGGATATGGTGATCTGAATGTCACAATCACTGTGGGTCTGTACAAGTATGTGGCCGGGTGGCAGCCTGTCGATGTCTTACTCGTTCTATAAAGGTGGCTGCCCCGTCAGCCAGTCAAATCAGTTTGGTACCTTTACCTTTCTCGTTTGCTTCAAACCTGCTTTTTCGCCCTCCTACAAGAAGGGAGCTAGCCTTTTACTACATTATGGTTTCCACAGGAGGCAAAGCCCCGTGGACTATCCCAAAGGTAGGTAGAATCCCACCACTCATTTCTGGCTCCAATAACAAACAATTGGCTGGAAGGTTGACTCCGCCCGAGCTTATTTCATATACAAAATTCAAAACATCAAAGACGTTGTATGGCAACAGCTCGTAACGATCGCCTCTGGACCCGACAGTGAAGAAACTGCCCGGAGGGAAGTTTTGGATTTTTTGAGGAAAAGTACCGGAGCAAAGGACCAAGGACTTCTATCTTTCCTCTCTATCCAAGACATCCGTGAAGCTATATCTTGCGTCGGATGCAAAAATGGAAGACAGCAAACCTCATCTACATCAGGCAGGATGCTGGAGCATTACAATACAACCAACATTCCAACACGAACCGTAAACAATTCCCTTCGATCCTCGAGGCGACGACAAGTCGGTCTGGTACGCCAACACCGATACGAATTGCGGAGCGCAAAGATATCGCCAGGTGTGAAGAGTCCAAACGGAAGAAAAGCAGGATAAGTCCAAGTACTCAGAAAGGGTAGGGGAGTGGAGGTTCACTGTCGGAACGAGTAGGAGTTAGTCGAAGTTCAAGTGTCGAAAGTATCTAGATTGCCGTTCCCTGAACCATTTTTCAACTTAGCACTCCTATCGATGCAAAATCCGTGAAATCTATCCACCTGGTGCACTCGAAGCATATCGCCATCAGGGATGACTCTATCCCACAATTAAAAATCATAAGATTGATAAAGCTAGATAGCCCTGTACTCTCTTTGTGTCGACCAGGTCAATGTTCTGAGGGTTTATCGCTTCTAGGCATTCCAGTATCGAATAGGCATTGTTAGCAGATACTGATGAGTTATTGTTACAATTCCGTCGCTGACCAGAGCGATTCAAGAAAAGAAAGAGACATGTCACTCGGTTGATACCAAGCGCGAAGTGTGGACAGTGGATACAAGACGAGTGTTTGACCCTGGATGTTTCCAAGCGAGATTATAAACGACTAGACACCGATGCGCCTCATCGAACCGAGGGAGCAGCTTCCAATGAGGAAACTTCGCTGAATGAAGTTGATTAGAGATACGTCTATTTGCATGTTTTTATGCCGTCAGAGCCGTCTGTGCCCCAATAAGGATACTTTGTGACTTATCGCAATATTTCCGCACCCCTAGACTTAATGAGATTGCGGCAACGTGGGTTGGAAATTCAATGAATTTATTTAAGTTGATGTCTCATACAGGAATGCCGCAAGGATTACAAATCTCGCACAAAAGGGCGGTCGAGGGAGGCGATGCGGAGAAAGGAGCGCGTACGTGGCTTCACTATGCTTAACCTAGGCGGATGTAGGGTTGAAGTACGCTCCTAGCCTCCTTTCCCTCTCTTTATATTCTTTGCCAATTGGTCTACAATGAGATTAGGGCTTCCGAACTGTAATCTCATCTCAGTTTGGAGAACTTCATAGTATGGGCTGTTCATCCCCGCAATAAAAAAACGCTGTCATGATACAGCTGGGAAATCATCGCAGTGTTTCGTCTTTCACCTTTACCGATATGCCACACTAAATGATCATGAGGATGAGCTCTGGCGAGAGAGTCAGTCCCCCTACAAATCTTTGCCGTATTGCGACTACTGGCTAAGATGAGTCTTCATCGTAAACCATATCTATATAACATTCTTCCTAGGCTAGTTGCTAAGCAGAAACGGCCCCAGGAGGTTCAGAATCCTGGGAGTCTGGCATGATACAAGTCGTCAACTGACGTGTAGGCTACCCAATCATGATTCCACGATCCTTCCCAGTAGCCAAGTGTGTATTTATCCTTGCGGATTAAGGACACAACTACTCTTCCTTCTTCAAGTGGAAGACGATCGCGGAGCGACATAAATTCACCCGAATACTTCAAACGAAGATGACTCTTCCCCCGGAGAACATTTGAATGGTGCGGTATCTTTCGAAGGGTTTCAGTCGTTGGGAGCCAGTGGAATAGCCCTCGTGCGTGCAACTCCGAGACCGGTATCATATCGCAGTCTTTGCCAGCAACAACTTTTCGTCTTTCTCTATTCAATATTAGTACTTTGTAAGGTAAGGACTATTCTAGTTGCTACCTTACCAAGTTCTTGAAACACAACGCCAGTCACAATAGTATCTTCACCAGATTTGGCGAATGGGAGGAACTCACACGCCATAGTGGCTATTACTTCGCAAAGATAGCCAGGATTGTGGAAGAATAACACGTTGAGGTTTACGCAGGAAGGAAGATAGGTAAATATGCAGATTTGACCTAGTATAAAATAGCAGCCAGGATGATGGATCGAATCAGTAGCCCTTGTCGTACGTAAATTGTGACAGACCACAAGATGCAGCGTCGCGGAGCCGGCGCATCAGCGATGATTCAACATCTCAGCGCGTTGATAAGGTAAACTTCTCCGTGATACCAGGATATGTGTCAACCCTCACCGCTCCATCCCATTTCACAATTCGACAAGGACATCTAGTCCCTGGTTATAGCTCAGACACGTAGGTTGGGGGCTTTATAGAGACAGGGGTCTTACAGAATGGAAGGACAATAGTGTTCACTGTCGTTCATACGATTCCATCAAGCCTGCTACCCCCAGCACTAATCCCCTCTGGTCATAATTTCATCGATCAGTCCGTTATACTTCTACCCTTGCTGAGCGAGAAAGTGAGAGGTCGGCCAAGACAGCATCTAAAGTTAAGATGGACAAGTGCCGGTATCCATTTTTCATACTCTAGGTTCTGTATCGGACATGCAGCAGAAGAGGCCATTTCCTCCGACTACGAAAGTATTCTTTCGTGCTTTAGTCTTACCGGGCTCCCTTTGCTGTCACCATCTACAGTGTAGGCACCAGCGTTTGTCAGAGACAGAGAAGAGGTATACGGTCACAGTTTAATCTCCACTACAGTACGATCTGTTGAGATACCTATCGTGTTTTTAATTACGTTCCCGGCTGCAGTGCTTTGGAGTTTTCTCAGTGCCATCTACTCACATCTGTTCACTCAGGGAGGTCTCCAGTGGCCCCATGGAAAGACGAGCCGGTGAGTCACCAGACCCTTGTAACCGACAAGATTGCTCTTTGACTTTCATCACCATCCTTACCGTCGCAGTCCCCAGTGAAGCAAACCTGGACCACGTTAATGGCATAGGTACAAAACGGTGTACCGTTGAACCTGAAATGCTTCTGTGGCATACTAGGCAGCGAGGTGGATCCACTTGGCGAACCAGGGATAAACAAGTTTCCGACACTTGAGCTATTCCAAATTTCTTACTAGCGCTGACTTGTACGTGCCGTCTATGGAAATGATCACCTCAAGGACATGTCGGCCTTGCCGCTTCATCTCGGGCGCCCAGAATTCTGCCGATCCCCCTGCCAATTCACGAGTAACGTATCGCGCTAGACAGAACGCGGCGGTAAATCACGCACAATCTGTCCGCCATCCCCTCAGTCCTTTGACTGAACCGTTCTGTCTTGCAAGCCCCAATGGTTCAAGGCGACCGCGAGCACTCGTCGTCGTCGCATCCGCCACGGATTCACGGACTCAACGTTGCGTCGGAATGCGCGCCACTGGAGATTGTTTTCGAGGATCCACGGCTGAAAAAGACGCCAGGAGAGCCCTCCCTGAAGCTCCCTAATCAATTTACGTCCCTTGTCGAGGGCTTGGCAAACGGCGACTCACAGAAGGAAAGGCGGCGACAGCATGGGCTTGATAGTGTAGAAAAACTCCGTCACAAGATGGCGCGGCTTAGAAACATCGACCTGGTTCGTCGCCCACACCAGGCACCAACCCTTGACTGCTGGGAGCAGCTGGTCGTCATCGCTGCCACTGTGGTGGACCTTCATCTTGGTGAAGAGGACACTGCATCGCTAACAATCAATTCACTGAATGGAAGGGAGTTATCACACGACACAATACTCAGGGACAGAAAGGCTGCTCGTCAGGTAGTGAAGTTGATCGATGCCATGAACTTGTACTGGAAGCATGACCTTGCTTTTGATTTGCTTGTGCTCCTTGGTGAGTTTCTAGCTGCGTCTGGTATATTAGGTACACCGACTCTAACTTTGGAGCAGATACCCCCTTGTCAATTCTTCGTCAGCAGAGTGTCCACCAGTTTCAAGGGCTGGAGCGCTTGCTCCGCGGATGCACACCCTCTGCCGAACTCCAGTACTGTCTCAGGCTTTACATTCCCTTCCTGGTCATGCTTCTACGGCCCGTCTACAGCCTTTTTGAGGTACAAGATGCTTTAAACACATCTCTCCTCCATGAAAGCGACTATGATGCCTTCTTGGAGGTAGTCGCGTTGAGATACGACCCAATCAAAGACACCTGGATGCCAAAATAGGATGTTTCATAACGATACAGTCAGCTTCGGGACGCCGAAGTCTACTGGCTCGGAAATCAAACATTCCACCAAATCCACAAAACTTCTCGCTTCATTGCCATTCAAAAGCCACCCGGGTTTAAGCAAGGGGCAGAACATGGAGGCGACAACGGGCTTGGGCAAACCCTTGCAAAAAGGTTTCGGGACTGTGTGCAAGTGAGATTAAAAGGTTTCTGACCGTTTAAGGCAGCGCGTGTTGTCGGGTTGAGCAACGAGCCCTTGTTCACGCATTCTGGTAGTCGCCATGGTAGTCTATGAGTTTATTGCATCTAAACAACTATAGGTCAGTGCAATGCCCGTTTGTCTCCCCCTGCTTGTATTTCCCTCCTGCGAGAGGGTCCCAATCCGCGTCTCTGTGAGCCCGTCGACAGGGCCATTTTTTGTGTGTACAAGCAAAAGAGGGTCAATTGAAAGTGTATCAGTTTCTTGTTTCTTTTTTTTTTTCCTTCTTCTCCCGTGATCTTACGCACTTTAGCCGACCAGCTATTCAGCTATCCTCCCGCTAATTCTGTGATATCATTGTGACCTCAACTGCTCACGGCTCCGTGCCCCTCGTGAGAAAATCTAACTCTGCGGGTTGCAGGGCTTATGTTAACATCCCTGATCTGGACATGAAACTTGCAGTTGTGAGCCGTCTTTGGCCCTGTCCAGGTTTGGTTCCGATCCCCCTGGCCTGTATACCTCAGCGCAAACCGTAGCCCAAACCGTGGACAACGCCGGGAAAACGGAAGGACCCTTGTTCATGCAGCGCTGCAGCCACTACTTAAACCTATTGGGCGTTCCGTAGCCGCCTTTGTGGAATTCTCGCCGTCACATTTCTGTGCGCAGGACATTGGTTCCCTGTCTTCTCAAGTCAGGTACCCGCAGAACGCTACTGATCTGTCGTTTATCATTCCAAGGCTGCCGATATTGGCATCACCAAGTGGCGGTGTGCGAACGTCGTGACAACTTTACTTCTGCTTGACACTGTTGTCCTTAATATGGTGCCACGAAACGGGCCTGGCTCTTCATCCTGACAGCGCTATTTTCGGCTTAGGTTTCCCTCATGGCTCAGTGGCTACGCCCAGAGTATGCCTAGGATGGCGTTTGGAAAGAGCCGGGTCTGGAACCCGGGTCACCTAACCTGCTTACAAGCTACACAAGAGGAATTCGTTGGCCTTCTCTTTTTGGCTAGGGGATCTACAAGAACCCAAATGTGTCAGGTGCATATAAGCGCTGGAGTTTTTCTACTACGTGGGCTAACGTTATTTGCCACTCCCTACACGGGATAAGGAAATTGGGTCTTCAAATGTGGAAATTAATTGTCCTTGGCTGAAAGATCTCTATCGTTATCCTTAGAGAAAATGGTCTGCGAAACTACTTATGGATGGTAACGGGGGTTTCAAGTCGAGTTATAGGGTAAAGCATATTCTAAGGAAGAGTACCGAAGTCGCCGAATAAGGGGATGAGTTTTGGCGTAAAACCTGATCCGTAGTATGATGCCAATACAGAGTCGACTACACTAGTAACAGATACCGACGATATATCCCTTCTCCACAAAGTTTCCAGAGAAAGACCATATCCTGACTGGGTTACAGTATCTTAGCCCAATATGTGAGCAGCAAGCATTGACTCATATAAGCAAGACGCACCGCGTCCATTTCGGCCGCCACTGTGTCAAAAGGTTCAGCGCTTTATCATACGTTTGGGGAGACAGATTTGTCCGAGACGATTAGCCTCTACCCTACCGTATCGACCTCGCCTAATCTTGTACTGAAGACACAGGTTTATGGTGGAGCCTCGAGCCTTCTCCATTTGAGTTAGCAGATATATACATCTAGGCTAACAGTGGCACGATGAGAACAAAAACAAAGCTTCTTACTTTGGTAAATTCCTGCCAGCCTTTTTTCACCCAAGGATATCAAAGAGGCCCAGTCGCTCAGTATAGCTATTCTAATGGATGGCGGGAATTGATTAGCTTTGGATTATGATCTAATCCTGCCTTGAGGGTATAATATCAATGAATGCCCCCTCTACATCATGTCGAGGACCTGTGATGTGGAGTTCTTGTACCATCTCTTCAACTAATATACCGATGTATTTTGCCTTGCTCGTCAGTCTCGGTGCAGCTCTTGTCGCCGATGCTGCCGAGTCCCGAAACGTTCTCTACTATGATCAGTAAGCTAGTATATCCTACCTTCGATGCCCGCTTCATAACGAACTAACGTGATACAGATGGCATACAACTAATACACCGCCAACATCTAAGACCAAAGCGGTCACTCACGTCATGATGTCCTTTGCCAATTCGTCTGTTTTCGCGGGCCTACCTGTGCCCGAGTACAAACCGTTTAAACCACTGAATGAGGTTCGTGAGCTTTTTGACCATAAGGTGAATATCTGTCTCGCCGTAGGAGGCTGGGGCGACAATATTGGGTTCGATGCAAGTATTCAAACAGATCTGAGCATCGCAAATTTTGCAAAGAACCTTTCCATCACTCTCGATAGGTTCGGATTCGACTGCGTAGGTGTGTATCTCTAAAATCGGATTACCATCATCTGGCTGACTCACCTGCACAGACATAGACTGGGAGTATCCTGGCGGTAATGGCGAGAACTATAAACAGACTAAGGAAAATGAAAATGCGAACCAAGTGGAGCAATTTCCTACACTCCTCCAGGAAATCAAGCATTCAATTGGAGCCAAAGAGCTTTCCATAGCTGTTCCGGGACTTGAACGTGACATGATAGCCTACGTTCCTGACGTTGCCTCCAAAATCGCCAAAGCTGTAGATTTCATCAATGTACGATCTGCGGCTATAAACCAATACCTTCAAAGTTAGATTAACCTGCTAACCAAACTAGATTATGAGCTATGATCTTATGAACCGTCGAGACAGTCTCACTACCCACCACACTTCAGTCCAAGGTACTGTCTCTGCCGTCGATAGCTACATCTCTTTAGGTTTCCCAGCCTCCAAGCTCGTTGTAGGTATTCCCTTCTACGCCAAATGGTTTACCACAAAGAAGGGTCATACCTGTAGTCAGCCTACGGGCTGCCCAACTGAGCTTTTAGAGAACGATGACGGCAGCGATACTGGAAAGTCTGGTGCCATAACTTTCGAAGCCTCTAATTTTGCTGAGCCACCAGCGGAGTTGATGTTAAGTCCCGACGGTACGTGTGGTACGGGCACAAGTTTCAAGTGTGCTGAAGGATCTTGCTGCGCACCCTCCGGATGGTGGTAGGTATCCTCCATTGTTTTGACGAGACTGTAGCTAACATGAAAAAGTGGCTCAACTCCAGAGCACTGCAATATTGGCTGTCAAGTCCCTTATGGAAGGTGTGATGGCGTTGATGTATTGAAATCATTCCGAAAGGCTGTTGAAAATGGTCAGACCGATGACGAAAAGAGCGCTCAATGGTACTGGGATGCTCAAACAGAGATCTTCTGGTCATGGGATACTCCAGACCTTATACAAAAGAAGATCCGGCTGCTGGCGGAGACTAGAGGTATTAAAAGCGTTATGGCTTGGTCACTTGCACAGGACAGCCACGACTGGAGCCATCTTAAGGCTATGCAGACGGTCTTCGTCGCTGTGAATGCCTGAAGTGTACTAAGCAAATATGCAAGCCACTTTGAAGGGTAGCAGACATTTTTCAATATGGGAAACGAGGTTCTACATACATGTGATCTCATCTTACTTTGTATGTGCCATGTTTTACATCGCAAGCTACTGTTGCCAGAAATGCCAACAAGCATACTGGAATAGATCTAAGAATCCGGTAGAGACCAACAGAGGACACTTAATTGATGGCGAATGTGCTATAAAGCCGTGCGAAACAAGATGAACCACCAAAGCTCCATGATGATTCTGTCGGTGTTTCTTGATCATCCCTATCGAATCAGTCTCACGGACGTACCGTTTGCAGGGGGTTGGGGCAGGCACTGTGACTTTGCGCCTTGGATGCTTAAGTCCACATAACAACACTCGATTTATCCCGCCTAACCTCACCACTTCCCAAATTCGTCTACATTACGGTCTGTCCGAAGACCAGGAGCCAACTATGACCACTGGAACAGTATATGTATCTAATGCTTGAAAGATAAGTGGAGGAACGGTTGCACCAATATTGACGACCCAGCTTTCCCCTCTTCTCATCCACGAAAAGGATCATGGCTAAGTTCCAGGGTCAATCAGCGCATCACCACTCAGACAGCAGTAACAGCAGTAATACTAAAAGGTCAACAAAATCTCTATCTAAATCGCACAAATAGCAATAGTAATCGCCGCTGTGATTGCTGCCATACTACTGATGACATTCTGCTACTATGGGATTCAAGGTAGGTCTTTCACTCATCCACGCAAAACTTTGTCATTTCAATACGACCGTAGCTTATATGGCATTTTATGCAGAACGACGTCGTGAGCGAAAACACCATGCTGACTTTAGAGGGAAAAGGGTAGCCCGTAACACAATGCATGCTGCTGTCTGCCTATGGGTTTTCTTCCGCTCGCTCGTTTGCTGAAACAACGAAACGCAGTCAAAGTCCGGATCCTAAAATCAGATTAACTTTGTGAATAATAGATAATTTGTATAATGGATCCACAGGAACTATTCGTAGAACATGGTATGCATCGTGAGATATATCCCATAGTAAACAACAAATATGTCAACTCTACCTGCAAATGGGACGGTGCGGTATCATTTCTAAACCGTTTCTTCGGGTTCTTTTCTCACTTTTCTTCTCTCCATATACTCTTTACTTTCGTCAAGATCAACAGACAATGGAAGAATGTGTGAAAGATGCACAATTATCAAACATAACAATATCATACACTCAGCAAAACGATCCCAATCAATGCATTATGTAACGGTATAAAAAAAGCCTGTCTTTCACCTTGGTACCCGGAAGCGCCCCAAGGGACATCGGGTTGCCCCCATTGCATCGGTGATGCCCGAATGTGCCGTGAGGAAAGAGTCTGGTGATTTTATGAACCAGTTCGGCGCGTTGTATGTTAGACCGGATTGTGGCGGGTGAGTATCACATGATTTTGGAAAACACCGCCCGAATTCGACCACAATATGGTTTGGCTAAAAGTTTGTTACAGGGTAGCTCAGTTTAAACCTGGCCAAGTATTCCTTGCATGACGTCTACCTGGCTCGTGATTGGCTTGAATCAATGACAGCTTATGGACCCCACTCCCTGTAATGATGGGCGGCTACCGTCTGGCAAATGCCACGAAATCCCTGCTCTTACTTGATTCAAATTGGCAGAACAGTATTCTGAAAGTGGGTCAGGTGTCAAAGCTGAATGTTATAAATCTTCTTGCTGCCTGCTTGGGGAGGCCTTTGATTCTAGTTCCTTGCACACCACCCATCACGCAACACTAGTCCCAACTGCTGTCGACCCGAACACTAGGTACCGAAGCAATGGCAACTCCAAAAATTGTCTCATCTACGGCCACAACTATCAGTGATTTAGGAAAAGAGCTTTCCGCGGCAAAAGCAAGAGTCATTACCCTAGAGCAGGAGGTCTTATCCGGACGACGAGAAATTGCTCAAGAAGCATCTAAGCAGGAAGCACTGTTACAGGAAACAAAACGTCTGCAACATACTATATCAACTATGTCTCTGAGCATTGAGAATCTAATACAGGAGTTACAAAAATCGCATCGGGAAAAATCTGCGATTGACTTTGCAAATCGAAGCATGGCAACTGACATTCACAACACGCGAATGAAGATGGCGGAGATGGATAGCCAGTTAAGGATCACGATTCAACAGCTAACAGCAGCGAGTTCGGATTCCATGAAGATGAGGAATCACATTATGGAACTGCAGAAGTCCGTCTCCGCTGCGGAGGGCATGGCTAATAGGGCCAGGTTGTCTGAAAGCGAATTGGCACAAAGTCTGGACCACTATAAGCATCAGTCAGCCTCTATGGCCAGTTATATCACGGTCTTGACAAGCAATTACATCCCAAAGCTTGAAGAGTTTGCGATGAAGCAACCAGAAGAGTCCTACACAAAGCGCAACGTGGATGCGCAGCTCGCCGAGGCCAAGTCGCAGATCAATGTGATCAAGAAAGATCTCAGAAGAAGTCGCAAGGACGCAAAGAATTTTCGGAAGCAGAATTGGAATGGGAAAGCAAGAAAAGCGAAACCTTTCCCCGAAACCAGGCTAGGCATGGTTATGAAGGATACAAACAGGGTCGTCAGTGGAGAACCTATGGAGCAGTCAGAGTACATTCAAGTAGACGTCAGTCGCGCACCGCCAATGGAGAAGATTGGGGAGGTAACGCATCCAAAGATGGGTGCCAATACCGAGGAGGAAGAAGGAGGAGAGTCGATGAAGGACTCAAGGAAGTCAGAAAACTCGATACGAAACGGAGAGAACGATTGCACCTCCTATGTACATATTTACAAGGGTCTGCCGTCTCCTACGCCCCTATTCGAGGACAAGCCGCAACCGGGTGCAGACTTTGCTGAGACTTCTGATGTCGAATGTGTCCAGATCGCACAGCAAGCGGAACGAATTCGCAAGCTCGAGGCCAAGAACGAAGGATTGGAGAATGAAATCGACAAGTTGAGGAGCAATGTTTGTCAGATAACAAAAGATTCGGAGCAGCTGAAGCAACAAGTCAGTTATCATCAAGGCCAAAGCTTCATGGAGGGATACGAAATCCTCAAGGCTCTTGGTCGAAATCGGCGGCAGCTTGTTTGCCATATTTTCGACGGCATACTCCGTATAATAACACCGGATGATATTGACGAAGTTCCCCACGCAAACCGTACAATCGCCACTTTGGAGGGCTTCTATGCCAGTGTGGGAGGCCGCCTCACTCTCTATGTGCAACAAGCCGACAAGGACGCCGTTTTGTTCAGGGAGCTTCTCGACAGGATGTGGGAACTGACACCTGCCTCCTTTCAGGTTGGCGGTCTGGTTGAGCCACGAGATGTATTCAGCAAAATCATCGCTCTCAGGAGAATTGTGCAATCCCTTCGCAAAGACGCTTGGCGTGAGCTTGCCGGGCAGGATGATCACTACTCGATGAGTTTTCTGAGGCCCAACGAACTTTTATTTCCCGTCCCTACGAATGGACAGCCTCCCCGATCCCAGCAAGCTTACGTTGTCAGAATCACGTTTTTCCTTGCTTTGATCTCTGTTACTTTATGGACATGTAATTGGCTGCCAATCAGTTTCCGGCCATTGCTGTGTCTCTTTATGTTGCGATTTGGAGCACTCTGGATCGAACGCATCGAAGCAACTATGGAAGATGAAGGATGCAAGCACTTGCAGTCAGTGTGCAACAGAGGCCTGGATGATGGACATACATCAAAGATATCTGACCGAAACGGAAACACAGTGAGACAGCTGACCGGGTTACTTACTCAAGCAGATAAGAATGCACTGGAGGCGTTATCGCCTAAGCTCGGCCTGCAAGGTAAATTGGGTGGAAAAAAGAAAGAGAGGAAGGTGAAGTGTTAGTAAAGTTAGCAACGGTGTAAGATGCAGTTATAATGATAGAGACTTGCAGGACGGGACAACAAGAGTCTATCTAGATTTCTTTATGTCATTGTTTACAGTCTTTCAAGACATTGATGCTCATTAAAAGATGTAACGTGTTTAATAAGCGAGCGTCCCACTTTTCCATCCTATATCATCAATTGTACCTGATTAATTAGTGTTCGACCACAAATAATGACACAAGCTTTAATGGAGGTTAAAAGTCTTCTTGCACTTCAGGCCTTTCAAGATAATCCAGAATTAAGCACCCGACGCGCTGCAAGGGTATATGGGATCTCTGAACATAGATTACGTCGCTGCTACAGTGGCATTCAATTGCAAAGCGATTCCACTCCAAATTCACGGAGATCATCTGGTCTAGGAGAGTAGTTCAAAGTCCAATTTATCCTTGACCTAGATTCGCGAGGGTTTCCCTCGCCACTGCGTTTTGTGGAAGAAATAGCTAATTCTCTGCTTGCCGACCGTCATGTGTCACCTGTCGACAAGCGCTGGGCTCATAATTAGTCACAGATAAAGACGTATATCTCTCGGAAATATAACTATCAGAAAGTGAACTGCAAAGATCCTACGATTATTCATAGCTGGTTTAGGCTTATACAGAATGCAATCACAAAGTACAGTATCCAATTAGCTGATATTTAGAACTTTGATGGAACTGGCTTTATGATGGGCCTTATACAGTCCCAAATAGCCGTCACAGGTTCAGAAAGGAAAGGAAGACCAAAGTCAGTCCAGCCTAGAGACCGTGAATAGATTACTACAATTCCAGCAATTAATGCGGAAGGTCAATCGATCCCGCTGTTCATTATTAGTTCAGTCCAATATCACGTTACGAATCGGTACCGAGAAAGCAACCTCCTCAGCGATTAGCTTATTGCAACGAGCCTGAATAGATAGACAAATAACGAGCTGGGTCTCAAGTGGCTAAGTCAATTTGATCAATCAACAGCCAAGAGATCGATTAGTCTCCATCATATTTTGATCGTTAATAGTCATAAAATTTAGCATTCAGTCAACTTTGAGAGATACTGCGAGAATCACAAGGCCATTGCACTTTGTATATCTGCTCATACATCCCACTTGCTCCAACCTCTCGATGTTAGGCGTTTTTCAGTGCTAAAGAATGCTTATGGTTAAGACATAGAGCATCTGATTAGATGATCTATAACCCACATTTCAAACACTGAGTTCTCACTAGCCTTTTATGCCGCTTTTCAAGCTATCTTCAGATAGCAATATTCGGGGGACTTTTGTAGGAGCTAGACTTTATCCTCTTGACCCGGAAATTGGTATATCAAAGCTTGATGTACAGCTACGGACTCCAACGCCTTCTTTGGAGGCAGCTACGCCTTCCTCTCCCTGTACTTCGAAGACACCAAAGACGGTAATAGAGACTCAATCTCAGTCTGAATAACTTACTAGGCGAATTCAAAAGCATTCAAGTAGCCCTTCAGAGTCAATTATTGAGGCTTTACATTGTCTTTCTAAGGGAGCTGAAGTTGTGATGCATAAGGTTACCCTATTGGTGGCAGAGAACAAAGGACTTTGACAAGCAAATGAGATACTAAGTCGGCGCTGTAGACAGAAAAACCTTGACTATAGAAACAGGTGGTAGTGACCATATAGGCACCATCACAGGTAATTGATCAGATGGATGTTAATGCGCGGGTAGTGGGCGAGTCATTAAGAAGTGGTGGTTGAGGAAGGTCGGTTGGACCAGGCGTTTAACGCTGTGGTGTGTGTGGTGAGACTGGGCACAACGCAGTGACCTTTTAGATAGTTCCAGAAGCATCTGGAGAAGAGTATAGTGAGTTATTTAAGATTGCATGAATTGTAGCAATTTTATGATACAGATGGTAAAGTGTTTCAGAAAAATGCGACGCTCGGTCAATTTCGCCGCTCGATTAATAAACAAATTATGTGATAAAAGAACATACGTATTAATATGAAATTAATACTACTCCTGTTTTAATTACGGTCTCGTACGAAAGGTCTTAACTTTATTCTATTTAGTGGCATACTATAAGTAATTACCCTAGAAATGCTGTGAGTTAGGGACGCTACAAAACATATTGGCCTTGTTGCGGCCACAATCGATAATGACAGTCATTGACGGCCAATCACCATAGACTCATCCGTACTTAGAATTCTTTTGCCGAAAGCTGAGCGGCTTCTAGTTTCAGTCGGGGATATGCCAGAAACTAGAAAAATATAGCATGGACCGGCCCCCTACGTCAGCTGAGGACTGTAATCTCATAAAATTACCAGCCTTCCGAGGCAGAAGAGCCAATGGAAGCGCATGTTGACCTAGTTAATGATAGGCAAGGCAGCAACTCAAAGTGCGGTGCCATTCACGGCCAACGTCGAGTATCGGTAAGGATTACTATCAACAGTGTAAAAAGACCTTGCTGCCACTCCTACTTAAGGCTCCATCCTTCTGGTCCAGCTTTTATTATGAAAACTTAACTATCGACGTTTATATTTCTACAAGACTACAATATACTGAACCATCCCTACCATCGGCTCTTCTCCTTCTCACTTCATCAATCGTCCAATATGGATCAATGTTGTAGTTATGATATGCCCAGCTACACCGAGGTGCCGGAAAGCATCGGGGTGGGTTATGTTTGTGTTTCACTCGATTTACGACCCTGAGCTAATAGCATGGATAGACTTTCGAAAGCGCTGATACGCACAGGAAGGATTCCACCGAATTTGACAGTAGCGGTCCACCTAAACCCGAGGTCGAGCGTCAAAGAGACGTCGCCTCCAAAAAGCGCAAGGCCGAGGATGATAATAGATCCAGTGTCGATTTGAGTAAGGCCACAAACTTCAATGCTCAGTCTCACAGCTTAGCAGAAACTACGCATGGACCAAAGTTCCTTGGTCAGTCGGGACGCCATGTAGCAGTCTTGTCCCCTGTACCTCAAGGTATCCAATATCAAACACCTCCACAATGCGACATTTCAACCGAAAAAGAAAATGGAATACAGCAGGTCTTGGCTGGAATGATACAGGATCTCCCATCTATGGAGAAACCCAAGATTGAAGCGAACAAGTTCAATTGTCTACTCGATGATGACGAACAAAAAGATCTGGAAGAAATACGTGGGGGTTCTGGCGTATCGATCAAATTAATCCATCTGATAAGCCAAATTACCTACTGTGCGGCCTATTGGAAACGGAGGCCCGACAGCCTCGTTCTCCCAGTCACAGGGAGATACTTAGTCAAAGCTTTATCTAATATTCAGATATGGCAAAATCGGGCGCGAAACCAGCGTGCGGATTCGGCCGCCAATCCGAATCCGGCAATAGAAAATCCCGCGAGCGAGTTGTGGAGGATTGCAGCGGCTGTCTATCTTCAATGTCGTCTCTTCAGGTATGTACTGAGAAGAAAAGATGACGGGAAAGCTTGGTATGTGATTGCTTACCACATCTTAACTTCCAGGCTGGCGAGACTTCACGTTCATGTTGTTGCAAACGTTAAGTACCTCAGCGAATGCATAGATATCATGCTAAAGTTAGGGCCTGACTCTCCTGTCCAGGTACCCTCCTTACCGGCCTTTATGCTGGGCATGCTTGCTTCTACCTCTGAACAAAAGGAAATATCGAATCATTGGCTAAAGTACAATGTAGAGGCAAAAGATCGAAGAGTAAGTGCAAAAGATCGCAGCAATACTGCTTCGATCATCGATAGGCGGGCTGTTGACTACGCTTTGACTAATATTGTGTCTAAATTACTGTATACTATCAAAATACTAACTACTTCTCAGGCCATCAAGAAGATATGGGCTAGGATCGCTGACGAGGTGGAGATCAAGGATGAAAAGGTGACTGTAGGGGAGTCCTGGTGGGAGACACAGGTAGTGAGGAAGGTACCTATGGACAAGTGGCAGGAAATGTGTCGGATCTGATGAATTTAGTCAATATTGATGTTCTCATTTTTCCCTTTTTTGTTTCTCACTGAGGCTCAAACCCAGCCCTATCTACTCCTTTAACGAAAGGGTTATTGCTTTCATGGAACACAACCTATCATATCAACGCTGCAACCTTCTCGAACGTGTTCTGGTCCACGAGGAGGCCATTGAATGAACCTGGCACTATGTCGAGATTGACGGGTGGAATTGACGGGTGGAATCATGTGTTCTGATCTCCACCTGATTGGAAACATCATGTAGCAAGACTGCTAACCTTGTAAGCTTCGGTCAACCAGCATTTTTCCTCTTGTGTATGTTATGAGCCATTAACTTATGTCATAGCTTGATACCAGTCTGCATGTTTCTCTGCCGACAGACTGTTGATCCAGGAGGCTTACCAGGTTGTGTAAACGACCATCTACTGATGCTCAACATTCATACGTCTCGTAAAAGAAAGTAACGATCGCATTACCGACTTCTCACGTTTAGCTTCCCTCACCTCTACATTGTAGGCATTTCAACAATGGAAAATGTCGACCAACATAGTAGGCAACGCTGTAAAATATGCTCCGTCGCTTTCAAAACCCACTCTAAATTAACAAAAGCTTCTTTGGGCGCAGGGCATCCATGAAGTCGGTGCTGTCAACACTGTAACAGAAGGTTTCCGACCCAACAAGCCTTGGTCCAGCATGTCTAAGCAAAGCATGTGAAGTTACCGGAAGCTATGAGATCTCAAAGCTTAACGGCCAATGCCTCAATGCCTGTAGTCCCGTTAACATTTTTAGTTCCAAGACGAAAGTTACAACCATTTCCCTCTACTTGGCTTGGTGGTCATTCGCGGTCGTCTCATACTGGTTAAGGTTATCCTGAGGAGCGAGTCCTGCAAAGTATGCAGAACGACCGTCTCATTATCAAATGTCATTTTTCCAATTGCATTAGAGAAAACCGCTACATCTTACCAAGCGAGCCCAGCCCGGAGGATGGCGAGGATAGCATGGTTCTAGCTCTCTCAAATCCAAAAGAAAGGCTGTTACACTGGATTACGAAATGGCAGGTCTCAGAAACGGCGATCGTGAGATTATATCCATTCGCGTTATCGACCTCTTATCTGGCCAAGTTTTAATAAATTCTCTTATTAAATCTCACGAGCCCCTTATTTACGTTTTTAAGGAGTTACTCTTACAAAGAACGAAAATGCTGTTTTCAATCTTTCAGCCCCTACTTCAGACCAACAACAGAAAGTTTTCTCATGGGCTTACGCTATACCATATAGCTGTTCGGTTTCACCGTCGATCACATAGGAGACCGTATGCAACACGGAGCCACACAGTCCCGTAAATAGAATCAACACTGACTGACGACTGAACTAACGATCTAGGCAAATGAAAGCTCAAGTTTCAATTCAGCAAATTTGGCCTACTCAGATTCAAAGCTTTCATCTCACTCTGGAAATAATCCACCGCACTGCGCAATGTTTCCTTGCCTCCATAGCGGGCGCCGCTCTCGATATTCTCTGCCAAACCGCTCACGGTCGAGAAACTTTCTAGGTTAGGGCCAGGATTTGTTTCGCCATCCCTGTCGACAAGGAGAGGAATGGTGGTCGCAAAGCATGGCAGCAGCACAGCGCCAACCGAATGAGTGTACACGTTACAGATCTCATTTTGCAAGATAGTAAGACTTTTGATAAGTTGCAGATAATCTGCTTCCAATGTGTGATGACCGGCGAGGGTGTACTTGTTGTCTTGATGCCGCTTGGAAACTTGATGGCACATGACGGTCCGGACTGTGGGATTTGCGCTGTCTCAGTCCTCATGCCCCGCGTGGCGTTCTTTGGTAGTCTCTGTCGTGCGTGCCTGAACCTAACGAAAACTGAAACCACAGTGTCGGCATTTGAGGACATCAAGCTTAGGCGGAGCGAGACAAGGAATGGGTTTGTTTGTTAATCCTCGTTATGGTCTTGAAAACGTAAGTACTGGTTCCTTCGTGGAGTGCATGAAACCAAGGCCAAACAGATCGATGGTCAAGTGGTGCAGACTGTCTAGTGGCCGTATAGCTAAGCAAGTCTAATACCCGAACCGCTGTCGTATTTTCCAAGCTTCTGTACACCAAGCCTCGTCTCCTCCTTGTAGCAATGCTGTATGATTGCAGCTAGACGCGTTACAAAATAGGCAAGCTCGGCTATGGAATCAGAGTTGAGGTCTTGGCTTATCTTCTTAGAAACGTTCCCTACTTTCATAGCCACCTCTTCGTACCAAGCATCGTTGTTAATGATCTTGGCTTTATCGTCGGGAGACAAAATCCAGTTCTGGACCTCGGTGACCATTTCTTCGAGCTCGTGTCGCTTAGCCTCAGATCTCGGCTTGATAATCTTGCTGTAGTCATCCACTTTGTGTAGCTTCTCTCCTGGAAGAAGACTACTTTTTATTTCTTGATGGTAGAGCCCCAGCACCTCAAGAACTTTAGGCCTCTCCTCATCGTTGAACAACTCTAAGCAATCTTCATAGCCAGCTAGAACTAGCATCTTGACATTGAGGATGGCGCGTTTGTCGTTGATGGTCGTCTTGCGCGTCAACTGAGGCTCGAAGTTGTGTTGAATAAGGAGTGTAAGATCCATTTGACAATCTTCACTCATGTAAGGCAGAAGTGCCCGAAGGCTAGCAAGAGCTAGAGCACCCCTGCATAAATATTGTTCTGGGGCCACCTGACAAACTGGTCCTGTATATGGACTGGGACGGATGAAGTTGGCATACTGCTTTTCTACAGCTGAGAATGTCGATCGGGCAATAAAGGAGGTTATTTTCCTGATGCGATGGTATATACTGGCCAAGTTCGTTAGACGATTCGTGCGTTGGTTGTACTTGGTGATAAGACTCATCACGTCGCCTGGTAATGTCGTCTCATGAAGTGCCTGAGAGTATATCCTATCCACTAACTCGGTTGGGAGATCATGAATCAACGAAAAGGCTTTGTCCGTCCCCATGACGGTTTCTTTTACCGATACAGGATATCAGAGCGGCAGCAGACTTTGCAATCAGACGTACAGACACTGATTCAAGAAACGAAACACACTAGAGCCAAGTGAAATCCACTGACGGCACTTATCAGATAAAGAAACATGCGCAAGACTACCGTGGTGACAGTTATAAGAGAATGCGCAAAAAGTAAATGTAAGACAAGTGGAAAAAAAAAAAGGGAGGGAAAAGAGGGGGAAGAAGTGGAGATGACATGTTTACTAAGCATGCCCACCGAAAATCCGTCAACTAGTCTACTATGTAGTGACAGACGACCAAATCAACTCTACCAGAGTTGATTTCATCAACCCCCTCTAAACCTTGTAGGAATGATTACCGCTAGGGTATAAGTTGATCTGGCGTTGTTCTGTACACAGGGACAGCAGTGCTGATCGGAACAGAAGTTTACCCCAGAACGCGACGCGTCTTGTCGCGTGAAGTGCTATATGGGTCCAGCGTGGTCTAAGTGGTTTTGTTATTCACCAAAGCTCAATGATTATTCGAATTTTACTACCGGTAATTGAGTTACCATGATGATCATCATGACGGCTTCAACTTTGTAACATGGACCATGCAATGCAATTCGTCCTCATGTTCATTTCTCTATATACCATCTTTTCGTATGTTAGGTCTGTGGGTTCGTCTCCATAAATTAATAATCAATGTCAAGTTCCAGGTTGCAAGTTATGCCATTGCATTCGCCGCGTTCGTAGGAGCTTTACTGAACGTAACAGTACCACAATATGGTATCGCATGTTAGAACGTGAACTAAAGCGCTTTTAAACATACAGAATATTTTATTTTACTGATAAAGTAGGCGTTGATTACCTGGTGCGTTTTAGATTGGTCATGGGAATCGAGAAACAACAAATGCAGGGTAGCTCGTAAGACGGCGTTCATATGTTTGGGAGAGCGATGTATTATCGCCGACTGAATACATCAATGCTTGCGAGGTTTAGAATGGCCTGCTCTGAGTTAGCAGCGTCGTAGTCCATATCCCGTTGTGACAAAGCCTCGAAATATAGGCACTTAAGTTCTCCGTCAGGAATTTAACTGACTTTTGCTCGGGGACCATACTCTTTTAGAATGTTGATCACCTCCATTGTCGGTTTCGACTCCGTATTTTCACCCGAATATTGAGAAGGAAGTCTCCCATGTCTTCACAGTAGAAGAAGTTCTAGATAACTATTCCGGGCTACTGTCTGATGGCCCGGGACTGCGGGGGTGATAGTGTGTTTTGGGAAGGAATACGCAAGATCGGAAATGCCACCTGTCTTTGAGTCGAACTTATAGAACCAATGTGATGCGAATACCAGCTTTTGAACGGATTAACCAATTTCGGTACTAATTGCGAGCTTATACAAACTCGCTGCCTCAATTTCGATAAATGGGTGAACTCAACTGTAAAACCAGTAGTTCCATGTAAGAGGCGCTGTCCACGCCCTTGGCCTTGCAACCGTGAGAAACGCCACCTGCAGTCAAGGCATAATAGATACGGGAAACACCTTGGTTGCCCCCAGTATCTCCCATGTAGAGCCAATCCATAGCACCAGTACATTCAAGACCAGCGGGAGCAGAAGGTGGGGCCTTGATCCTTCTTATCTTCTGGGCAACAAGAAGCTTAATGGTCTGACCAAGGTGGAGACACCAACAACATTGAAGAAGTGTCAGCCGAGGTAGGGGATGGTTCTATGCAGGCTTTTAGCCTTGAGAGACTGTCTATTGGGCAAGGGATTGCCGGGTAAAGCCCCATCGTCGCTGTTGCGGTTCAAAGTGACCTTTTCAGTGTTCAGAACTCCATCGGTCAGCCAAACCGCAGGCAAGGGGCCCAGGCGAGATAGAAAAAGACGAGCGTGAAGTATACTAAGTTTGGCGATCCGGATATCGTTTCTTTTGGGCCAGATTCATGCGCTAAGAACGCTGACGCAACTTATGCCCATCTCAGATCACTCGGGGCTGTTGCCACGCATTGCGTCGCTATAATGGGGGCGTGGGCTTAGGTAGTGATCGCACTGATCGCTGTTGGTGCTGTCACCCACCTGGAAATATTGCATTCATTACGAATTTAGAACTAAAAGAGGCAAGCATATCATTCTTGAGCCTGTAGAGTATATCAATACTTAAAGGAATGTCCGACCCAGCGAGGCCACTACTTGCAGGCCTCGCCGACACAGGTTCGCAAAATAGTCAATATCAAAGCCTGAATTTCGATTTCTTGCTCCATACGCGGCGCATACTAGTGGCGCTCCAAAACCTTCACCAAAACCTCGACCAAGCAAGCACTAGTTTGCTTACCTCTGAAGATGCAAACGGTCACAATCCCCCTGGGCGTTTTCATTACCCTTATTATTCTTATTGTCCTTCTTATTGTAATTCTTGTCTTCGTTTTTACTCGGCCTTATTGTGTCGAACCATCTGAGCGTGAACCAGACGAAGCTGCTCTAAGACCTCTAACCGAGGCTGTCAACCAGCCGAGAACATCTGACATAAGAATACTGAATTCAGCATCAGACAGAATACTTTCTAAAGCTCCTTCTCCCCAATGCAAAGCACCCCCCCGGGCTCCTACAAAGTACTTGGGGGTCCCTGTTGTTGCCCTTGCCGCCGATGACATTATGGAAGCCCGGAAATGGATGGCTAAGCGAGGTATAAGGGAAGGGTCTAACGTCGACAGTTGGGCCGGCGAATACGAGCTTACGTTGGACCCGCAGCCAAATGACAGAGTTCAAGGCGGTATTCTACTTCCTAGTCTAAGCAAACAGGCTCGAAAGAAGTGGAAAGAATCAGGAAAGCCTGCCATGGTGGAGGGAAAGGATCCTGTCGTTGAGATTGAGGAATGGGCACCGAGCCTAACATACCCCTTTACTGCTCTACTGGCAAGGGTGACTAGTAAAACCAAAGTCTATGAGACAAAACTTGTTTGATAACTCTTGATAGAGCTTGACATAAGTTTAAGAAGTGAATGGATCACGATTCTGATTTGCAAGTGTAGTTATTAAACAAATACACGGCCAAGAGAGGGAATACAAGGGATAGTTGCAATCAACATTTTGAAGGAAGCTACTCGGGGTTTGCTTATGACACATGTGGTGATAAAGATGCCCGCAATGCGTACGTAATAAAATAACACTTTTGATCACTGAAGTCTTTGCCGGACATTAAACCGCAATGGCTCTTTGTTTCTAATTCCGATTTAGACCGCGGCATAGACCAGAGCATCACACCAAGATGAAGCCACAAAAATGTGTCAACTATGTGGAGGTCTGATACAGGTAGTTTCTCGCATCCTTATTCCTAAACGAAATTCATGTCGACTCCTACCAGTTAGCACCAAACAGGATACTCAGTAAGGGTCAGTTTATCGATGGCTTGAGAAACTGAGTCTACAACGATTGTATCCTGTAAACCCTTGTGACAGCGGTTAAAGCGGGTAAAATGAGTACCGCCAGTGTCGGTTGTTCTTCAACAGGGGCAAGTACAATTGTTGAAAACCGACTGATTGATGTTTGGTGGATTAGCTCTCAGACTCGTTAAATATACCTTTGCACTCGCTAGCCAGGAACGAGGTACAAGGTGCCAACAGGTCATCAGCACGATTGCACTTCCTCGTACTTTGACCTGCCGGTTGCCCTGCACCCAGGAAACAACAAGATCCCAGGCACGACGTGATAGCATCGCCCTCAACAGGTCGCAAAGTATCTGACGCCCGGGGGGAGGGGGTCTAAGTCCTATTCTCGAAATCATTTGTTAGCTGCAGACGTGTCTTGGCCCTTGATGCGCATCCCTTAGACTGCAGCTCGCTTGACGCCATAAGACTACAGGGTATAGTTAGTGCGCAAAGTCGAACTTTGGCCGCCCCTTGTTATCTTTGCTTCTGGTTCGCAATGGATTATCTTCGCCTTCTACTAAACCTCGTTACTCTTATTGCCATGTCCTCTCACAGTATTTACTCGTGTCAACCCGAAAACCCGGTTCTGGCCTCAACTTTTCGGTGTACGAGCGGCCTCCACAATGCCAACCAGAACTACCCAAAGATGAATCTATGAAACCATTGGGGAGAGATACTCTATAAACCAAGGGACTACATCGAGATACTCTTCAGGGTCGAACTACGTGTCATTAGTCCTTTAATGATGCTGAGTTATGACATTCTGAATCTTCTCAGCCTTCCTTGTCTCTCCATGGGCTTATTTCACTGTCCATCAACATGGAAAGTAGAGAAGTCAAAACGTGTCTTCTGGCACCAATTGAAGAAGAAGTGGAAGGTCAAGTGGCTTTGATTCAGCGAGACGGCAAGAATGGTACGTGACTCTGCCGAGCCGGCTCGGTTCATTTTTTGTTTCCACTTGATTGTTTGTTTCTCAGGCCTGATGGAAATAAATTGAATAGTGTACTGTGTAAAATACTGAAGGGAGTCTATGTTACAATTGATTTCGAGAAACGCATAAAACAAAAATATTGGTAGGCTGAAGAATAATGAAAGTAAGAACTGGGCGAGTCGGGGAAAGTTAAAACTCTTTGCGGCTGGCAGCTAGCAACTCAAATATGCTCATCCGTTGGCCCCCGTCTTGGTCCGTACCGTGGCGGTCCGTGTTCTGACAAGACTTAACCGAACTGTCTAAGCTGCCAGTACGATTTAAGACCTGGTCTATTCGATGGATAATAACATCTTGTCTATCCCAGAGTTTCTCCAGAATTTGACGATCGGAGAGCTCGCTGGTGATATGGCGGTTGGCCCAGGTATTGCAATTATTATGGTTTCTTTGTTGAGCTATCTCCTCTAAAGATGACCACCACCGACTTTGTGGGGAGGTGTTGACATGTAGCATCCTGTTGAAAGGCTCAAGAACCATCCAGCAGTGTCTGGCAAGTGAACTCCCTTTGTTGTAGGGAATGACTTGGCCGATTTGAGACAACGCGATGCCACAAGTAGCGATTAGGTGAAGTGAAATGTCGGCCGAGTCGTCAATATCAAGTTCAAGCAGTCCAGCCATATCCTTAAGAGCATTTATAGGTTCAAGTTGTTGTTCTGGCATCCCCTTGGAAGATAAAGTTGAAAAGAAAGCAGAAGTTGAGTTTCGCAGGAGCTCGTCAATGTTGCCCTGGAGATGGCCATTCGAGTCTTCCTTGTCATGAGGACGAGATGAAGTCAAGGAGTAGATGGTATCCCGGACACTGGTCGCAAACTCGCGAAGATCGGACTTCTTCAACTTTTCGACGATCAAGCTGTAATCGTCTAGAGCTCCATAGGCACCGACGTGAAGAGCAATAAGGTTGATAGTGATTACTTGAAGTTGGCACTGATCCTGAACAGCAGGGTCTTGGATATCCTTCATGATGCAGTTGCCGAAGGTGCGGTGGACAGAGGTTATTTGACTTGAAGCCGCAGGAAGTTCGAGTGTGGAGAAAACAAAGCTTAGGGGGAAAGGTTGTGGAGGAAGGTCAACACGGAAGAACAAAATCGGGTGAGATAGCTGGTACTTATAAAGGATGGTTTGTTGACATGTTGGTCAATGCTTTGCCCGACGCGCAAATCCTTCCTATTTGGGTCTGAGCAACTGAATATAGAACAAATAAACATGGCACGATTCGAAATTACGAGGCGGGGCTTGATAACAGCATTAAATCGAGAGAACTTGCACGCCCCCCTTTGGACCCGAACGTCCATTGACACCCTATCCTAGCTGGGAGGCTGATACAGCTCTGAGTCCAATGGAAAACACATGCAAATCAAAAGAATGAAGACAGGGACTTGAATCCATTCGCTCCGATGGATCCAGGTCATCGTCATCGAAGGTTGGAGAAGATAGCGTTTAACATTATTCATCAATTCGGAACTCCCAGGACATATCGTATGTTAAGTTTTAGCTATTTCCAGGCAGTCTCTGGTTTGCCTTTCATACACACAGCAGCGTCGCCTTCTCGATGAACTTTGTTGACGCTAGGACAAGAACTAACTGGTCTCCCGCCCAGATGACTGTATCTGAGATTCATCCTGATCCCCAACTTCGATCAATGCCTGTTTCCTCGATACCATGGAACGCAACATCAAGTTCATTGGTCCATGCGCCACATTCCTCACTATCCAATCGGTCGTGTTGTGGATCTGAGGATATACTTCTGTATCTTCTATTCCCTAACCTCTATTAAGAGGAGCAGAGATGTAGTCAACTCCGCGATGAAGACTTTTTGTCTATGGATGGATGTTATTCTGCTCTCTGTAAGATACCAATGCTACAGCATGGTTCATATCCAGCATTATCCATCAAGCTATGACCATAGTCCTTACGGCTCGACCGCACGTCGAATAGAGGGACTTTCCAGTGTGTGCATCCAGTGGCACGAGAACAACAACTAGTATAATACTTTCCACCAGAGGCACCGGCACATATTTGGGCCAGCATCACCACTACCATTGGGGAACCAGATCTCCAGCCGTTCCGGGACGTTACTATTATTCTACAAGAAAGAATTCTCGTCGTACTAACTGAAGATGATTCTCCATATTATAGCTTCTCAGCCGATCCTCTCCTCACATGGATGAGGTGCAACATCAGCAAGTTCTTTGCAAGGGTTCAAGAGGCTGTATAGCTTTCAAGATGCACATTTTGTGACTTGGTAACACACAAGGATTATGCTCATGCTCCTGTGTCCAGTGTTGAGGTCTGCCTTGTTTAGCTATTGAGAGGGCTATTATGGCTGCAGCCGGTCAAGCTGACAGCCTCTGAGGTTTGGATAGGGCTCACATGAAAACCGAATACGGCTATGAACTGGCGTTATTTTCTCTTTCCCCAAATAGCTTCCGAAGTTGTGAATTTACACCGTACAGTGGCGTTTTCTTCATGTCAATGATGTCATCGTGTTCGCATCTGGCTGCGGGAGGCCGCCCATGTTTTCGGCTTACATAAAGCTACGAGAACGGCCGCTGGATAACACGTTGCCGGGAAAGTGATGGTCCTTTTACCCATAAAATCTCGACCTTTTTCGCAATTCTACGTCATTACTACACCCCTCAATCATGAGTTCCTCCGTTCGTTCCGTTGTTTCGCAACCTCCACACCCTCACTTGGAGTTGCTCGATCATGAGGTTGAAACGACAAGCAATATCAAGTCTGTTCCAATCTTCACGCATAACATTGAGGGAAAGCTCCCCAAGACGGATCGCCCAGATCAGTACGGACTTCTTGGTTCCAACACTTTAGGATTAGGGACATCTCCTCGATCGGCTAGTAATGCTGAACAACTGAAATCTCGGTTGTTCTACAACGTGGCCGCTCCTACCAGCACATTCATCTGCGGCAGTCAAGGATCAGGCAAAAGTCACACACTCGGTACTATTCTGGAGAACTGCCTAATTCCATCGAAGGCAAATCATCTTCTCCATCCCTTGGCAGGCCTTGTTTTTCACTATGATACATTTGTCTCGGATACAGGCGGAACACCATGCGAAGCGGCGTATGTAGCCAGTGGTAAAGACGTGAAGGTCAAAGTACTATGTGCCCCTTCTAATATTCTCCAGATAAAGGTGAGGGTCCTGCTTCGTATGAGCAAATGTCTCGTGACTGACCCATGAAGCGTATCTATCGGCATCTCCCTAACGTGGTAGTAAAGGAGTTGCGGATTAATCAATCGGACCTGAACACAAGAAGGATGCTAGATTTAATGGCTGTCAGCTCGGTTCAGGGCGGAGGCATGCCGCTGTATCTTCACATCGTTAGTCGCATACTGCGTGATATGCGTATCGCGCAGCAACAGAGCAACTTGCCTTTTGATTACAAAGCTTTTAAGACGGCTCTTAGTACAGAGACCTTAACAGCAGGGCAGCTACTGCCATTGCAACAACGCCTAGAGACATTGGAAAGCTTCATGATCACAGAGCAAATCATTGCGAATGGTTCCGCTTCCAGATCGAAAGGGAAATCGAGAGAAAAGGAAAGTACCTCTTCTCAAGGTTCAAAATGGGACTTGCTTGTGAGTCCCTTTCATATCATGAATGAGGATATCACTAACGCTGAGATCATAGGCCGGGGAACTCACGATTGTTGATCTCTCCTGTCCTTGTGTCACGGCTGAGACAGCATGTTCGCTCTTTAATATTTGTCTCAGTCTGTTTCTGGAACGAGAACCTACCATTGGACGCGTCGTTGCTTTGGACGAAGCTCACAAGTACATGAATGACAGCTCCGATAGCCAGACACTCACAGAATCCCTTCTCTCGATTATCCGTCTACAGCGCCATTTGGGCACCAGAGTTATTCTCTCTACTCAGGAACCTACTGTGTCGCCCAAGCTCCTCGACTTGTGCTCCACTGTCATCGTACATCGCTTCACGTCACCAGCATGGTTCGCCACTCTTAGGCGACATTTGGCAGGTGCTTATTTAGTTTCTGAAGCTGATTCGAAAATCTGCAATCGAGAAATGGTAAATAGCACAAACGCCGAGAAAGATAATGATGTGCTAGGCTCCTTCCCACGCCTCAATGTCAAGGATGAAGATCTTTTCTCCCATATCGTCAGTCTGGAAACTGGTGAAGCACTCCTGTTCTGTCCGAGCGCACTGATCGACATTAGGGCTGCTCGAGCATGCAATTCTAAATCATCCTTGATGCAACTTGGTAGCAGCGCAATGAAAGTACGTATAAGAAAGAGGATTACCGCAGACGGTGGCCAGAGTGTCATGGCGAACTAGTCTGCCACTCTTGAAGGACGAGAATTAGAATAATTTCTTTCTTTTTTTTTTTTTT